TGTGCTGTCTCCACCCAGGTTTTCAGACCACAAGAAACATGCTTTCCTGTATTTCATTGATCTATGGTCCCCACATCTAGAAGCTGGAGGGAGACAAAGGCATCTATTCTGGGTTAACAGGAAGCCACAGCAACAACGAGAAAGAGAACTTGGCCTTGAGCAATATATTACATTACCAGACAATTAGGCCAGGTTCCAAACATCATGGATGGGCAGACCCCACGTTCCGATCACATTCTTCCGCTATCCCTTCCCTCTGGAGAAGCCTAGTCTCTGTGGCCAACTGCCTGCCTTCCACATATTGGCCCTCAGATGCCCCAGTGGCCCTGGAAGCAGCCCCAAAGGACCAGGAAGTCCTTGGCCAGCCTTGTAAACAAGGTTCCAATGAATGTGGGACACAGCTTGAGGCCCCCTTTCCCCACCCAAAACACCCACCTGCAACAAGCCACTCCAGCCAGCAAGAGCCTGCCAGGAGTCCACACCTAGAACTGCCCCAGAGAGTAAATGCCACCTGAATGAATGAAGAAACCAATGAATGAATGAATGAGGGAATGAATGCATGAACAGCCCAACCCCATCCCTCAGCCCAGCAGCCAAGGACCGCGCCCACCTCCTCACCAGGAGGCAGGGAGGCAGCAGCCCCTTTCCAGTCTCAGCTCACAGAGGCTCTAAAGGTCTTTGCCCCCTGCTGAGCTGGAATCACGAAGCCCTGAGGGTGTTTCCAGCAGCTTCCAGCAGCCACTTCCTGGAATCCAGACTCTGGCCAGCAGCCCTGGCCCCTCACAGAGGACTGCTGCCCACACCTCCTCCTCGCCGCCCAGAAGAGAACATCAGGAGTTACTCACATGCACACCTTATTTGACAAGACAAGAGAAATCTCTTCTGGAAGATAAAGTTTGAGCTAAACTTAAAAAACAAGTCTGTTTCCAAAGACCACGTGTAACTTTGCCCAAAGACAGAAATCAAAGGCTCCCCATGGTTCCAGACGTCCTGCAATGCACAAAGGATCACACCTCCCCACCCCACTAAGTAAGGCAGCAAAGCCTCTTCTCAAAGCTGAGGAAGGACAGCTCCCTTTTGATTTCTGGGAGACTCACACATCCTCAGAAGTGCAGGGACTGATAGCTTGAAAACCCAAAGGAAAGCTCGAGAACTCTTGGAAAAAAAAGGGGGGTGGGGGAATGAATATCTGCTCACCGAACTCACCTCCTAGTCTCTGTTTGTTTGCCAACATCCTTGCTTCGCTTTTGTAAAACTCTATCGCTGTTTCTCAAGTGGCTCTTTCTGAGCCTGGAGAGCAATGCTCATTGTGCCACGGAGGCTAATGTTTTCATAAAATGTGTAACACATAGAATTACAGCCTTTAAAAAAATAAAACAAATTGCAGTGATCATTTTGTCCTCTTGTCCTACCGAAGGGAAAACTGGGGGCCCAGCTCCTTGTGTGGACAAGGGCTGCCTGATCCCCAGCGCTGCTCCCTCTTTCACTTCTGCATTCCTTTCGTCTTCACAACTACTGCTTTGCCAGTGCTATGTTTTCTGTGTGTGTTAGTCACTCAGTCGTGTCCGACTCTTTGTGCCTGCCAGGCATCTCTGTCCATGGAATTCTCCAGGCAAGAATACTGGAGCCAGGCTTCTCTGTCCGTGGAATTCTCCAGGCAAGAATACTGGAGTTGACTGCCATTCCCTTCTCCAGAGGATCTTCCCGACCCAGGGATTGAATCCTGGTCTCCTGCATCACAGGCAGATTCCTTACCACTTGGGCTACTGGGAAGCACTGTTTTCTAGCCATGATCAGATGCAAACAGTTTTATTTGGACTGAAAGATGAACGTGATTGATGCTCATTGCCCCGGGGCAGGCACAGCCTCGCTTGGGGCCTGCATGTAGCTGGCATCTGTCTTGCTTGGTGAGGACTGTGGGTTTAAAAGGACTCCTCCCCTCCCTTACCAGATGACATGCCTTGGTGTGCTCTGTCATGCCTATGCTGGACCCCGCTGCAGCACTGAAGACCCCAGCCTCCAAGTTCACTAAATGATATGGGGGCATGCAACACAATGTCAAGAAGAAGAAACTGGAGACAACCAAATGCAGGTGAAGATGAGCTTCTTTTTCTTTACTATTTATTTATTTATTAGGCTGCACCAGGTCTTAGTTGCTGCACACAGGATGACCGATCTTGATTGAGACATTGAGGGATCTTTAGCTGCCACGTGCAAACTCTTAGCTTCGGCAGGTTGGATCTAGCTCCCCAACCAGGGATTGAACCTGGGCCCCCTGCACTGAGAGCCCAGAGTCCTAGCTGCTGGACCACCAGAGAAGTCCCAAGATGAGCTTCTTAAAGGCTGTTGCAGGTGGTTCTATATACTGCACCCCCCAGAAGTGTAGAAAAAGCAACAAGGAAACACACCAAAATTTGGAGATGGTCCATTACAGCACTTCTACTTTTTTCTTTCCTTTTGTGTGTATGTGTTTTCTGATTTTTCTACAATGAATATGCAAACTTTTACAAACATATAAAATTAAGAAAGTAGTCCTCCTTCCCAGATGTGTGGCACAGGAGGTAAAGTGTTAGACCTTGGAACCAGACAGCCAGGTCCAAATCCACCAGCCCACTTGATTTTTAAGATCTCAGGCAAACACATTCATCTTAAGTATTACTGTCATCAACATTCATTCAGCGCTTTCTAGATGCAGGACATTGTGCTAACCAGTCTGCATGGATCACCTCATTGTGCATGTGATAATTCAGTTATCTCTATGCATCACCACTTAGAGTTGTTGGAAGTATGTCTACAATAATGTGTTTATAAGCGCACTGCATTTTATTACATATCCTCTGGAGTGTTTCATTTTAATAGCATTAAATGCTTATTCACACCACTCCCAAAAATTTAAGCACAAGCTTTGGGGCTGGCACAATGTCCAGGCATGCTTTTTTTTTTCTCCCTATAAATTTTTCTAGCCCCTAGGGCTCCAACAGGTGCCCTTGCTGTAAATTCTAATCCACAAAAGCCAAGTTTCTTACAGGTCTGCCAACTGAGTGTTCTACAAGGGTCAGTGGGCCAGCGGGAGGATCTGCTGCCTGTTCTATGCAATATGCTGCTGGATTTACTCATTGAAGGGTACTTTTAAACTAATCGTGCTCCATTTGTGTTTACTATAACATGCTGTGGCAAATGGTTGTGAGCCCAGAAAGGCAGACTGCTGTAGACACCCACCCTGTGAGGCTCCACCTCAACTAGGGAAACTCAAGGTTTTCAGCAGCAGTGGATGAAGCAGCAATGAAACTTTGGCACAGACACAGCTGAATTATTTCACTGAGCTTCTGTCTAGTCAAGGGAGAAATATTTTTAAGAGCTAATAAATGTGAAACAAAGATGCTTTTCTTGTGTTAGAAATCATTAGGCTTGTACAGCTCTTTTAATTCTTTCAGAATACGGAGTGAACTTAAAAAGTGGCACAAGACAAGGTGAATCAGCTGCCTGGGACTGCTGAGAAACCCAAATTGTCGTCTTAGAAAAACAGCATAATAACCCTCCTTTGCCTAGAAGGCACGGTGGACGTCTGGGTAACTTGCTAACAGCAATCTATTCCCATGTATATTCCCCCACCAAAAGCAGTACGATCAGGCAGCAGCATGAAAGCAAGATATCAGTTTAATAATAATAATATAAAAAGATTGATTCACTCAGTACATTTCCCCCTACATCCTTCTTAAGACAAGACTTTGCCAAAAAGATTTGAATTACTTTTCATCTATAAGTCTTTCAATGCTGCTGTAAATAGTAGGAGTCCTCATAACTCTGATGTGGGCAGAGAACACTCAAAATAGTAGATAGCAGATGCTGGCCCCACTCAGAATTGCTTACGCCTGTTTGTGTAGATACTGCCTTGCCATTTTTGCTCAGATCTTTTAAGATCTCTCACAGTCATGACAAAATGATGACTCACACTTAAATGCAGTCATGTCATATGCGATATTAATACCTTGGTGACATTGCCATAAGTGCCATTCCTTTCAGGGGAAAAGGTTCCTGACAGCAGTCTGCCACCATCCTCAGGGACCACAAAGGGCAGTGCCGGCAGAAGGCAATGCTCATTGTGCAGGAAGGAGCTGCCTGCATCCTGCAAGCTGTTCCCATAAGCAGCTGTTGGAAGGGAGGGGGTGGAGAGGAAAGAAGGGGGAGGGGAGGGAAAGGTCTCTGCTATCAGGTTGGATGGCCAGCTGCTGCTGCTGTCTTATCCCAAGTATGCTCCTGTCTTGCAAGTTTAAAAATCTTCCTGAAGGGAGAGAAACAGGAGCAGGGCTCAAGTTCTGCCCTAACACCCAGCCAGCGTCCCCTCCCCCACTTCCAGCACCCCAGAAGCCTGCCATTCAGCGCCAACAGGAAGATGGAACAGGTGCCATGGAGTTCCGTAAATCTCAGAAATCAGCAGCAGTCCCGCTGACCACCTCCCCCACAGACAAAGATCCCCTGCCCTCAATAAAGAGAGTAAGTTTGTTTCAGTTAAGTTTATTGTAAAACTCAAAGCTGCAGCAGCATAATCCTTTAGAAAATGAAGCATCGCCCGTATCCGTTTTGAAACAGCAGTAACATACTGCTCAAGTCCGTCAGAGCTCCTGTAACCGTACAAGTCCAAGCCGCCTGGCCTTGCCTTTCCCCTCCTTTCTGCCGGGAGTACAGGCTGCTGAGTCACGCCTGCCCGGCCAGTCTGTCCTTCCCGGCCGCGCGACCAAGGTCCCGCCTCCGGCCTTCCTGGGCGAGCAGCCCGCTCCCCACACTTGTAGAGTCCTGGGCTGGGGCCAGCCTGCCCCTGTCGCCGCCGGGCCCCTCCTCGGGAGGGAACCGCACCTCCTCGCCGCTCTCCACGCGCCCCCGCCTGCCAGTCTCCACGCCGCACTCCGGCGCCCTCCGAGGGCGCATCCACAGAGCCAGCCCCGCGCTAGGCGCCCCGGGGCGTCACCACGTCGATCAAACCAAGGATCCCCACCGGGCTGTCACTCGGGAAGGGTGATATTGGGCACCCAGTCGTTGACGCTGCGGCTCTCCTCGCAGAACAGGCTAAGCTTCTCCAAGGCGGGGTCCTTCCAGGAGTCCTCATTGGGGTTCTGCGGAGAGAACGCAGAGGTCAGCCTGGCTGGGCACTGGCTGCTGACGGAGGGGGGACAGGGGTCACATCGGCTCGGAGGCGACACTCACCGAAATGAGGATACAGTGCAAGTCTCCAGGCGCCCCCGACTCGTCGCCGGTACCCACTATAGCCGCCAGCCGCTGAACGTCGCCCACGCGCACGATGTCTATGTCGTTCTCACAGCAGAATGCTTGGATCAATGTGAAGTGGATCTGCAGCGCGATATCGCCCTCGTCCTCCTCGTCGGCGGCCAGCACGCAGAAGGTCACATTGTCGGGGTCCCTACGCGGGCGAGCAAGAGGTGGTGAGATCAGGTCGGGGAGCCACTGGTGCCCCCAGCTACCGTCTCCCCGGTCTCCCTGCCGCTCCTCCCACAGGCCGCGTCTGATACTCACACGTTCAGGACTTTGGCTGACTCGTAGACGCCGGCCGTGAGGCAGCCTTGGCGCTGAGCCGACAACAGCAGCTCGTGCAACGCTTTCCCGGCGCCCTGCATCCTGCGGACAAGCCAGCGCGGTAAGCCAGTCGGGCCGGAGGGTGCGCTGAGATCCCTGGACCCAGAGACGCACCCCCAGAGCCCCAGCCCGGCGCGCCATCCCAGGGCCGCACCTTCGGCCCAGCCGGCACACTCGCGCCCGGCTTCCACCCAGCGGGTTCCCACCCAGCCGGTTTCCACCCAGGCGGGCCCCAAAGACTATCGCCCAACCAGCGCGGCCAGGGCAGGACAAGGATCCCCGCGCGCCCCGAGACGTCCGGCGTTCGGCGCCGACCTACCTGGCTGTGCTTTCTGGAACCGTGTCCTGGCCACGAACTTCTTCCAGAGTCATGTTGAGATCTGCGAGCAGCAAGTTATCCACAAGAACAGAGGGCGGAGCCGACGCGAGCGAAGAAGGAAAGCCTACGACCCAGCCTGGTGAGCCCACTGCCTGCGAGTGAGCCCCGGCGCCGCGGTCTGCCCTTATATAGGCTGAGCCGGGTGGCGCCGCCAGCTGGCGCGAGCCTGAGAGCCCATTGGCCCGCGCCCGCTTTCTGATGCAAATGAGGCGGCTGCCCGCGGCTCGTGCCAGAAGGCCACGTGGGGAGGGGTGCGGGGGATGACAATGCCTCAAATCTGCCGCTTTTGTCGGGGTGTTACCAGGCAGACTGGAGCCTGCAGATTTCATCTCGCCTTTTTGTTTTTTTTAAGTCCTTAAAAGGAAAAAGTTACGGGGGAAAAAAAAACCCTCATTTGTTAATAGTACGCTGCAATTTGTGAAATGCACCTTTGGGGAAATCTAATGAATTTTTTTTTGCATTTATTTTTGTTGCTACCTTTCTATTTTTTTCTTCACTTTTAATTTTAAGTTTTTGAGCCCGTTGCTTCTAAACCGGAACTTAGAAAACAGGCTGCGCTGGCTAAGGTAGCTAAAGGCCTGAAAGCAGCCCTCTCCAGCTGACACTAGAGCCCCGAGCGCGAGGTTCTTCTAGCATCATCAAGACCCGGACCCGGTAGCGCTGGAAAGTCTCGCCAATCTCCCGGCCCGCTACTAAGCTCTGCGGGGCGCCAGGGCGCGCGAGCAGATTGCGGCCGGAGCACGCGGCTCGTTTGCATTTCTATGCTGGGCGCACAATAGCGGAGATCTGGCGTGTGGCGGTTTGTAGGAGGGACAATTGAAGCTTTCTCTTCATAGCGACACTGTCCACCTGCCGCTGGGTGGGGTGGGAGAGCCCCGCCGCGCGTGGGGGTCGCCGGGCTGCTCGGCGCGTGGGGGGTCGCGGCCGCGTGGGGCTCCTGCGCCCCTCAATGTGCGCCCCCTGCACGGGCCCCGCTGCACCCACCACACGCTTGCATGTAATTCCGCACACATGTAATTCTAGCACACGTGCGGAGCAGCCGTGGAAGTTGGAAGGAGCACCTGGCTACTGCACCTTCTTCGCAGCCGGGTGCTCTCTACCCGGACCCCTAGGCTCGGGCCCCTAAGAGCTTGGAGAACGACGCTTGGAATCCCTTTCCCGGGGCGCCATCTACAGGCCGACGGGAAAGGTCCTGAGCGCTTCTCTTTCCCCTCACTTCCATTGACATACTATAGGGACTTGGCTTCTGGCCCTCTGATCAAGAAGGGGCCCTGGTAGAGTCAGCTGAGCCCCATCTAAGCTACATATTAATGGGAGTCAAAAACTGAAAAGCCCAGATGAAGACAAAAGGAGACGCCAACCGAGTACTGACGGAAGAAAAGCCTATATTTCTCAAGCTATTTTGAAATTTTTTGACCTAAGTAAGCATGTATTAAAAGCTTGTTTTCCAGTAATAGAGAACTAATACTAGATGAGAGCTTGAGAGCGTTTAATAGACATTGCTTGGCCGGGGCCATTTTGGAGCTGTGTGTAACGAATGTTAGTCACTCGGTGGTGTCCGGCTCTTTACAACCCCGTGGACTCTAGACAGCCAGACTCCTCTCTCCATGGGATTCTCCAGGCAAGGATACCGGAGTGGGTTGTCATGACCTCTTCCAGGGGATCTTTCCGACCCAGGGATGGAGCCTGGGTCTCCCGCATTGCGGGCAGAGTCTTTACAACCTGAGCCACCAGGGAAATTGACCCTTCCAGAAGGTTTGCTCACTGAGCTTCTAATTTTGGTGCCTGCATCTCTCTATATGCACTAAGCTGCATTCACTCTCCCCCACCCCCACTTAACCCTTACTAGGTGAGGCTTTTGAGACTGGCGGGACAGCTAGAGGGTGCAGGGGCTGTTGGATGTGCTAGGAGTCCCGACTGCTGCAAGACGGAGGAAATAAGGAAGACAACGGAGGGCACCGGCTTCTTGCGCCCCCCGGTGGCCAGCTGGCAGAGGACAGCTGAGAAAGCGGAACACTTCCCAGATGCCAATTGGGTGTTTGCTCACCAAACATCCCTGAAATCCGAGGTGTCTATAACAGAGTACTGAGTGGAGTTCCGTGTGCTACACAGTTCTTATTAGTTATCTATTTTATGTAGTAGCATGTATACATCAATCCTAGCCTACCAACCTATCCATTCCCCCTTATCCGCCCCGCCACAGCCATAAAATTGTTTTCTAATTGCTGGAACCATGCGGCATCCTGTGGCGTTAATTTGCTGCCATTTCCTTTTCTTTGCTGCCCACTACATGCTCAGTTGCTCAGATGTGTCCGACTCTTTGCGACCCTATGAACTGTAGCCCACCAGGCTCCTCTGTCCATGGAATTTTCTCAGGCAAGAATACTGGAGTGGGTTGCCGTTTCCTCCTCCAGGGTATCTGCCCGACTCAGGGATCAAACCCACATCTCCTGCGTCTCCTGCATTGTCAGGTGGATTGTTTTATCACTGAGACACCTGGGAAGCCCCTTCTTTCTTTGTTGGTGGTATACAAAATGATGGTGTGCCTTGATTGGATAAAATATATTTATTTTTAAGTGATTGAGACTTAGATATTGCTCTTTTTCAAATATTAAACTTTTTTTTAATGTATTAGTTCCAGGTCCCCAGGAAATAAGTCTCATTGAAAAAAATGAGACTTATTTGACATCTTAGAGTTCACTTCCCCCTCCCCATTTTAAACACTGGAAATCTCCCTACACATCAGGCCTCACACCCGGGTCCCAGAGGAGGGGAGTGGGGACAGGAGACAGCATTTCCAGTTGGCACCGAGCCAGCCCTAAGAAGAGGACTGATTGACAACCCCCTGGGGCTATTCTACTTCACTCGCATTTTTAAGGTATTGAATTTCAGGAAAATCGCCTTTCTGACATTGGATATGGCTTCACATGGGTTTATTAGGTCAGTCCAAGCAGCCCAAAAGGCTTCATCTCAATTAGGAAAGAAACATTTTGTCTGGAGTCTAAGTTGGCCCTTCACCAGACAACCCCTCCCCATTCCTACAAGTGAGACAAATGCAGAAGCTGCTGCGGCTCTGGGACAACCCATATCCAGCTTGCCAGTCATACTACAGGAGATGGGTGGGCAAAGTGGACACCCCAATCCAGGAGCCGTCAGATGTTCTTCTGGCCCACCCCGAGATAGAAGATGGTTGACTAAAGCCCACCTGTCCTGTTCTGTTGCCACTGTGCCCCCAAACGGTATTCAACCCATGTGTCAGCCTGCTGCAGCCCCAGTCCTAGGCGACTGTGACATCAGCCAAGCTCCCTGTGATTATACCTCTTAATGTTCTCTGAACCCTAACCATGAAGGTGATGGTGACATTATTAAAGGGACATCCTCAGAGATGTTCTGTTTACAACCCTTTTGGAAGCGCTTAGATTTGATGTTTTTATTGACACTTCATGAACTCCTTATTGCCAAATTCAGACTTAAATTGAAGAAAGTAGGGAAAACCACTAGACCATTCAGGTATGACCTAAATCAAATCCCTTACAATTATACAGTGGAAGTGACTAATAGATTCAAGGGATTAGATCTGATAGACAGAGTGCCTGATGAACTATGGACGGAGGTTCGTGACATTTACAGGAGGCAAGTATCAAGACCATTCCCAAGAAAAAGAAATGCAAAAAGGCAAAATGGTTGCCTGAGGAGGCCTTACAAATAGCTGAGAAAAGAAGAGAGGCTAAAGGCAAAGGAGAAAAGGAAAGATATACCCATTTGAATGCAGAGTTCCAAAGAATAGCAAGGAGAGATAAGAAAGCCTTCCTCGGGCGATCAATGCAAAGAAATAGAGGAAAACAATAGAATGGGAAAGACCAGAGATCTCTTCAAGAAAATTAAAGATACCAAGGGAACATTTCAATGCAAAGATGGGCACAATAAAGGACAGAAATGGTATGGACTTAACAGAAGCAGAAGATATTAAGAAGAGGTGGCAAGAATACACAGAAGAACTATACAGAAAAGATCTTCACGACCCAAATAATCACAATGGTGTGATCACTCACCTAGAGCCAGACATCCTAGAATGTGAAGTCAAGTGGGCCTTAGGAAGCATCACTATGAACAAAGCTAGTGGAAGTGATGGAATTCCAGTTGAGCTATTTCAAATCCTGAAAGATGATGCTGTGAAAGTGCTGCACTCAATATGCCAGCAAATTTGGAAAACTCAGCAGTGGCCACAGGACTGGAAAAGGTCAGTTTTCATTCCAGTCCCAAAGAAGGGCAATGCCAAAGAATGCTCAAACTACCACACAATGCACTCATCTCACTCATAGTAAGGTAATGCTCAAAATTGTCCAAGCCAGGCTTCAACAGTGAACCATAAACTTCCAGATGTCCAAGCTGGATTTAGAAAAGGCACAGGAACCAGAGATCAAATTACCAACATCCATTGGATCATAAAAAAAAAAAAAAGAGTTCCAGAGAAACATCTACTGCTGCTTTATTGACTACACCAAAGCCTTTGTGTGGATCACAGCAAACTGTGGCAAACTCTTAAAGAGATGGGAATACCAGAGCACCTGACCTGCCTCTTGAGAAACCTAGCTGCAGGACAGGAAGCAACAGTTAGAACTGGACATGGAACAACAGACTGGTTCCAAATTGGGAAAGGAGTACATTAAGACTGTATATTGTTACCCTGCTTATTTAACTTATATGCAGAGTACATCATGAGAAATGCTGGGCTGGAGGAAGCACAAGCTGGAATCAAGCCTGCCGGAAGAAATATCAAAAACCTCAGATATGCAGATGACACCACCATTATGGCAGAAAGTGAAGAAGCACTAAAGAGCCTCTTGATGAAAGTGAAAGAGGAGAGTGAAAAAGTTGGCTTAAAACTCAACATTCAGAAAACTAAGATCATGGCATCCAGTCCCATCACTTCATGACAAATAGATGGGGAAACAGTGGAAACAGTGACAGACTATTTGGGGGGGCTCCAAAA